TGTCTCCACCTCCCAAGCTGCTGGGATTACAGGCCTGCGCCATTGCACCCGGCTATAAATTTTTCCTTTGTTAAGTATGTTGTAGTCTATAAACTGACACTAAAGGAAATGCTGGTGAATGAATCTGTTGATTATTTATTAAGATGATAATTTTGTCTTATGTTTTATTTGTTGATCTGACCTTATTTATTGTGAAATAGTTAAAATTTGTGCATGAACCCACCCTTACTGGTAATCCTGGTCCCCTCAGTGGCATGGGACGCAGAGGTCCTCTTATCTGAAGAGTTTGAGGCCCTTCCATGTGGCAGACTTCAGAACCCCTGCCCTGTTCTCTTGATCGGAATCCTGGCATCCTTCCGAAACTGCCTAAAGCCCTGTCCTTCGGGAAACACCACCTTTGACCACTTTTATTTCCAAATATTTTGAAGCCTGAGTTCTAGGCTTTTACTTGGAGAATTAGTATTCTTTGGCTTCAAGAAGCACAGAGGGAGACATAAAGAGTAACAGAACAATAATGAATAAATACTGAAACCAGGCACTGACAGGGCTTGTGGGAACACAAGGGAACACCTAATCACAGAGTTGCTGGGGTCTGTTAAGGCCATTTCTGTACTGAAAGGAGCCTTGAATCCCCAGCCATCCTGGGCACTTCCTAGGTGAGAGTGGGTACACCAATATGAGAAACAACTTGTTCTTTGCCTAAAGATAAGTCTGGTTTTGTCCTTGATTGGGCTGGTTTTAAGGACTGAAGTGAGAGTTCCAACAGAAAGTAAGTTTTGAGCCTGCCTACTCACACTGTCCTTACCATTCCCTCAGTGTCTACCCGACTTAGCCAATTACTTTACTAATATGCTTTTCTTTTTCCAAGATGAAATGTGGCAACTGTGGTGAGATTTCAGAGAAATGGCAGTACCTCCGGCTTATGGTAACGTTCCCCACCACTACCCACCTCCCCCGACATACACTACACATACATCTGAGCAGGGATTCAGAGAAACTGGCCCTCCTTTCTCCAATCCTTTGGACACTGCTGTTTGTGGTTTGGAGGGTAGGTCTCAGTGTAATCAGTACTGGAAACCATAATCAAAATCAAGGGGGAACCCTTTCCTCAGTGTCAAGCCTTCCCAAGATTCTTTCTTTTTTTTTTTTTAAATTGGTGCTGAGGCCTGAAACCCAAGATTTGCACATATTAAACATAAGCTTTACCACTGAGATCTATACTCCCCAGTCCTCAGGATTGTCCTAGCAAGTCATTTGCCTCTCTTGGTCTTGTTCTGTTCAACTGGATAATAAGTGGTGGGACAGGATATCCCTAGGATCCTTGCATTTAATTGATATGTGACTAGAGATTCTGTTTCTCCCAAGGATAGTGTGGAACTGAAGGGAGGCCGTCACAGTGTCTCCATGGTCCAGAAGTGCAAGCTATGTGCACGGGAAAACTCAATAGGTAGGTCAGATTGGCCCACAGCTTCCTGATAGCAGACTGAAAGCAGGCTCAAGTAACTGTGGACAACTCAGTCCTCAGATGCTAAAGCCTCTGCATCTGTCTCTTTCTCAGGGCCATATTTGGGCACCTAGAGGGGTCCACAGTATGGATTCAAGTCAACTTTGACTTTTTTTTTTTTTTTTTTTTTTTTCAGCTATTTTGAGAAGCACCATCCAATCTTACAATGTAAGTTTGCTGCTATAGTGGGAGATGTGGTGGGTTTAAATCTAAACTGGGAGCTAGGAGGCCT